TCGTGGCTCCTCTTCGTCGGAGTCCTTGTCCTTCGGCTCCCGGACGCCAGAAGCACGACCCGAGGAACCGCCAAAGAGGATGTCCACAAAATCATCATCAAGCAAACTGCTGCTAGACTTGGCAGCGGCCTTAACCTGAAGAATTGGCTCGTCGTCATCGTCGTCGCCTTCCAATGTCTTCGCCTTGGCGACGACCTGCTGCCCCATGGCGTTGAAGATGTTCGAGCCGCCGAGGTCTTCGTCGTCGGAGTCAAAGCCTTTGGTCCTGACACGCTTGGCAGCTCTGTTACCGATGTTCGACATCTCGATGGCGCCCATCGTCCACTGCTCTCTCGCCAAGCCTTTCACCGTCTTCCCGCAGTGGGAGATTGTAGTGAGCTGCTTGGTCTTGTATGGGATCTCAAATTTCTTGAGAAGGTGGACCGGCCAGAGATAGCCCAACAGTTCTTTGGTCTCCACTGCCACACTCTCCTCCGCCTGAACTGTGGTAGCCGCACGACATCGCCCGGCGCCATCCCGGCGTTTCCCTGAACGTCGCTGCAACTCCCACGCTTCGACATTCTCCACGAAGCTCTCCTTGAAGGTCTTGGATTGCATAGCGTCGTTGAAATCCTTCTTGGACATGTCACGGTATTCGGGGGTAGAGCCAATCACATTGTTGCATGATCGGCACACCCGCGAGCCCACTGCCAAACGTCTCAGGAAATCCCCCTGCTTCGGATCCGCAACGATCGGATTAGGAGTTGATGAGAAGGATCGTTCACACCATCTGCAACAATCGTCGACCGGCTTCGAAAACTTCGGGGCCATGTCACCTATCGCCTGGGGCAAGCGCCAGGCACTGAGTATGCTGGGGTATCTAGAGTTTGGAGGAAACTAAGCAGCTGCCAAAGGAGCACGTCATGCATCGACTCAAGCAAGACATGCATCAGCCGGGATGTCACTTCCAAAACTACCCGCCCCAGCACACACGCCCATCGTCTGCGATAGACTTGCTGCTTCGACTTCGGCTCGCTTTCTTTCAGATACCTGGAGATCCTAGACCGTTTTTGTCATGGCACCAGCTGAACACATCTGAATGACACATCAAGCTGCACGACTGCACGACCCAACAAGCTGGCGACGTCCTGTTCGTGACAGGGCGGCGGCATCGAGTCTCTAGCCGGGGTCTTATGGAGAGGTGGGGTTTACGGTTTACGGTTTGCTTGTAGCATTGCAGAAGCATACAGTTCAAGTTCAAGTTCAAGGTTTACAGTCAGGACAGGAGCAAACATTCTTCAGGGATCGCGGTGGGATGGATAAAACTACCGCCTACCACTCAATACACGACATCAGAAAAAGGGCCAGCAATGCAGTCGGTGTGGTCCTAAGCCAAAATTTGACCTGTATGCGACAGCTTTGTGGCTGTCGCAATATCAGAGTTTGCGTTGGCGGTATGGCCAGCACAAAACAAAACTGAAAGCTCGCAAAGTCAATTGGAACCAGCACGACAGCTACATGGCCTGTACAAGACCCATGGCATCCAAGTTTAGGATTTTGCTTTAACTGGTTCTAGTTAGAGTTAGAGGTTTCGAATTAGGCTGAAGAACCTTACGGGCAAGTTCTCGAATCGAGATTGGGGCGGGTGTCCACAGGTTAGGCTTATCCTTAACCCTAAGTCCCCAACCCTACACCCTAAGCCTAAGCCCAATATGCTGAACCCTAAACTCCTAGACCGCCTACGCACTAAATATCTAAAACCCTAAATCCTGAATCTTATACTTATAGACTTATAGCCTAAACCGAAACCTTAAACGGCCTCAACCATTAAATAGTAATTTAGTATAATAACTATAGTCGAGTCGTACGGTTTGCAGCAACCCTTGTACTGGCACTTGTCTGTCGCTGTGCAGGCATCGAAATAGCCACTACCTACAAACCCGAGCCCTGTTCCTGCGAAGCTTCGCCGGCGGCCATGTAGTCCCCAAAGTCGTCCCGGAACGAGAAGCCGCCCCAGCTGGATGGGATCTGCATGTGCCGCCCCTCCACAACGTCCACCATCTCCGAATCCGAATCGACGTCCACCTGGAACAACTCCTGGCTCATGTCAACTTCGCCCTGAACCCGCTCGAAGATGGTGTCCAGCCTGCGGCGAGATGGTGCTAGTGTTGCCATGCGAATTGATGTCGATGTCGAAGATGGAGCCAAGCCGCAATGCAAATCCACGTCCTGGTCGTCCTCATCCCACGGGCCGAACACACGGAGGCGCCGAAGGGGCGGAGGGAGCTCCAATGGACTTGGCGAGAAAGGCGAAGCTTGCATTCGAGATCGCTTCGATGATGCCACTGCATTGGTAGAACTCTCTGGTTCTGGTAATGACAGGCGCTTGCGTGTCGGAGTTTTCGAAAGCGAAGGCGGCGGAGTACTCGCCCTGCAATGCGACCTCGTTGTCCTCAAAGGTGAAGTAAATGTCGATGCAAGCAAACTCGTAGACATTGGCTTCGGCGCCTCCGGGCTATTGACAGAGAGCCGCCGGCAAGGATCACGGCCACGGTCTCCTGCTGTCCCCGGCACTGAAGTCGAAGGAAGACCCGACATGATAGCCGGCGACAAAGTACGGAACGGGGGCTCGTAGGTCTGGATGGAGGAAGCAAGCGGCGAAATCACCACAACTAGGACACAAACCAGCAAGAGAAATAGACGCATAATTAAGGCATAAACCCGAAGAAACAAGGCATAAATCTGGCGGGAATAAGGCAAAAATAAGGCATAAATCTACCCAGAAATAAAGCCAAAATAAGGCAAAAATAAGGCATAAATCCGGTGGGAAGAATAAGGCATAAATGTGGCCCAAATAGTATAAATATTAGTAATTTGGGTGGATTTATGCCTTATTCTTCCGAGCGGATTTATGCCTTATTTCTCCGGATTTATGCCTTATTCTTCCCCCGGATTTATGCCTTATTTTTGCCTTATTTTGTCCTTATTCCCGCCGGACTTATGCCTTATTTCTGCCCTATTCGGGGGTGGATCGGGGTGGCAGCAGCAGCAGTAGAAGAGCAGCAGCATCAGCAGCAGCAGCAGCAGCAACAACAACAGCAGAGCAGCAGCACAGCAGCAGCAGCAGCAGCAGCAGCGGCAGCAGCAGCAGCAGCACAGCAGTGGCAACCCTTCCACAGCTGTTGAGTTTGGAGTGACTATGGTCTGCTTCATTCAAACTGCTCAACCAACTCGTGACCGAAAGAAATCTCAGAGAGCTTTCAATGACATGGGCTGCGAAATCGGGAACAGTTCAGTAGCTCAGTAGAATACAATCATCATGCCATCATCTCAGCCCCTTTCCCTAGGCAGTCATGGGTGGCCCTGCTCCGTGCCAAGACCGCAACAGACGAAACATGTTGGCAAGCTCGACGTCAATCATTGGACAAATACGACAACGTATACCTAAGCCTACACCTACGTTTAGGGTTTTGGCTAGGGTTTAGGCTAGGCTTTAGGTTGGCTTCTGTGTGAGGCCAGCTCTCACCCACTGACCTTCTGGGATCTTGAAGCATGGGAAGTGCTCGGCCGATCCTTTTGCATCATTGCCTTTAGCACTCTAGCAAATCTTACAAATTCTTATGTTGGTACATCTTGGATCCGCAGCTGTCGCTTTCAACAACTGAGGCGTGACAGGCTGCTCTGTGGAGCAAAAGCGTCCGAATGCTGAGACTTCTGCTTGGAGGTTCATGGTTACGTATAAGTGGAGTTATAAGTAGGATAACTACAGTTATTATATTTCATAATTTAATGTATATTTCGTATTAGGGGACATAGAACCCCACTTATAACTACCCATGAACCTCCACGTGTTCGCTGCCGTTCAGACCTTCCAACTCCTCGACCCCTAAGCCCCACTTCACAAGCAAACGCTGTATACTGCTTGCTATGTCAGTCAGTATGCCGGTCTTAGGGATTTTCGGGTTTAGGGTTTAGATATGGAAATCTTTATTGGGGCGTCAGAATCGAAAATCTCTTGCAGAGTTGTTTCGCTTATTGGGGCGTCGGGAACGAAAATTTCTTGCAGAATTGTTTCGCTTATTGGGGCGCTAGGAACGAGAATCTCTGCAGAATTGTTTCGCTTATTGGGGCGTCGGGAGCGAACATCTCTTGCAGAATTGTTTCGCTTATTGGGGCGTCGGGAACGAACATCTCTTGCAGAATTGTTTCGCTTATTGGGGCGTCGGGAACGAAAATATCTTGCAGAATTGTTTCGCTTATTGGGGCGTTGGGAACGAACATCTCTTGCAGAATTGTTTCGCCTATTGGGGCGTCTGGAACGAAAATATCTTGCAGAATTGTTTCGCTTATTGGGGCGTCGGGAACGCATATCTCTTACAGAATTGTTTCGCTTATTGGGGCGTCGGGAACGAAAATCTCTTGCAGAATTGTTTCGCTTATTGGGGCGTCAGGAACGAAAACCTCTTGCAGAATTGTTTCGCTTATTGGGGCGTCAGGAACGAAAACCTCTTGCAGAGTTGTTTCGCTTATTGGGGCGTCGGGCACGAAAATTTCTTGCATCGCTTATTGGGGCGTCAGGAACGGAAAACTCTTGCAGAATTGTTTCGCTTATTGGGGCGCTAGGAACAAAAATCTCTTGCAGAATTGTTTCGCTTATTGGGGCGTCAGGAATACTTTTTCTCAACTTGATTAGATAGGAACATATAAACAGTCTACAACTGGCTAATCATTCTCAGCATCAGGAAAAAGATTTGTCACGATATCCAACACATGTCAGTGTCAGGAGCATGAGCCGAGTGTGACTGGTAAGACTTGCGGTGATGGCTGGTATGAGGACGGAGTTTCAAAGTTGAACTCATGTATAAATGCCTCCAACTGCCTACTAAGAAGAGTATGACGAATGACAAATGTGATAATAATAACAAATAGCCACTGTAGCTGCTATAGCAACGGATGAACGAACTAATTATGACGGGTCTGACTCTCCTCTGCCAGGCTGCATACGAGACACGACACTTCTGCTACTGACTTTGTTTGGGCTTTGAACGTACACGCATGCCCAAAGACTGCTTCAAGGCAACAGCCAAATCTTGATGATGGGACTGAGACGACAAGCCATCCGTTTCCGAATCTTCCTCGGCAACAGACAACCATTCGAGTAGCAACTCCAAATTCTGCGAGTTGGACAGCCAGCACATGCACTGCTTGTGAATTCGGCAGAGAGCTTGCAAACTTTCAGCACCAGAAGCTGTAGAAATCATACGCTTAACGACACCAAGAACTCTGACAGACTGCACGGCCCCTGTGGGGTCGACTGTCAACTTCTCCACTCGGCAGACCTCCAACCCTCGAGCACATGTCACCGCCCTGATCCAAGACGTGTTGGAGATGATGCGGAGAACTCTGTCCGTGCCTGCACCAGCACCTGGCAGCGGGGCAGTCGGAGGACCCGCTGCACTGCTGCTGCTGCTGCTGCCTGACGAAGCTGCTGCCGGAACTGCTACATCATTCAGATTCAAGTATTCGTCCGGCATCGGTTCATCAGGTTCATCCTTCCTTGCTCGCTTCCGGCCCTTCGCACGATGCTGAGCGGCCCCCGTGTCCGCAGGAAGCTCTGATTCTTCCTCAATGATGCTCTCATCAGAATCACTTGCATCAGCAGCAGCACTTGGTCCACATGTGCTCGCAGAGGCAGCTTCAGAGCACATGCGAAAAGCACGTCGCAATTCCTCGGTTTCGCTAGAACCCAAAATTGCCTGGAATTCCGGGTCATCGAATATGTCATCAAGCCTGCCTTCTGGAACCTCCACGTCGTCGCCAGGTGAAGGCATGTGTTTTCTTTTTGCTTTTCTCTTGGCAGCAGGCTGAGGCACGGCGTCTTCGACCATCAGTGCCATCAGATCAATTTCTGCATCCTCTTCGTCACCACGGGCCTCATCGATCGCACCACCAGGTTCAGAGCCAGGGTCGCCAACCTCAGGTTCTTGAGCAGGGAGCACCCGTGCAGAAGGTGTTACCAGGACAGGCTGCATCGAAGCATCGATGCCCAGCACACGAACACTGGAAGGCCAGAGGTCTTCGAAACTCAGTCTTGATAGTAGGACACGTGAGGGCGGCGCCCCTGAACCAAGAGACATGTCCAAGAGTTCCTTGGCAAATTCATCCGAGCTGAACATGCGAAATCGGCCAAAGTGGTCACCCCCTTGCACAGGAAGCCATTGCTTCTTTTGGTGCACCCATGGCAATGTGCACAACTGCAGGTCAAGACTCTTGAAGCGATCGGGGCCACTGGAACATGACCCAAGACCGTCTACAGGGACTGCTTCCACGTAGACTTGCTCGGGCGAGTGGATGCCGGATCGAGCGGACATGGCAGTCACGAAAGCGAACGTGGTTTGCTTCTCACGTGCCACATTGAAAACCTCGCATGCTAACAGAAGGTCTGTCTTCACGGCCTGGGAGATTCGACCCAAGCTTTGAACAATCTGTGTCAAAGCCGCAAGGATGTTCACATGAAGGTTTACACGTTCCGCACTGACGTCCGACTCCAACATACGGCATTGCACCCCACAACAGCTCTCGTATGTAACGTGCTCGGGAAAGGCCTCTGCAGCACTGCACGGCCTAGCAATCCGTTCTGTCTCCAGCCTGAACTTTGTCGTTGCATCCCTCCAAGTAATTCTTCTCTGTCGCTGGCACTTCCACACACTCTCCAGCGTGTGCTCCCCAACCGGATAATTCGTTTTGGCCTCGGAAAGAGCAACCAAGAGCCGTCTAAACCGCAAAGCCGCAGCCCACACCATTCATGTGACCTCACCCTGCCTGGACTAACTTCCTAAACAAGAAACTTTCTTCAAGAAACCCAAGTCAGCGAACCCTAAAGTTTAGGCCCAGGCCTAACGACTAAGATCGCTCTAGACCTTAGCCTGAACTCTACACCACTTAAACTCCGAAACCTTACAACCTACAGTCAATACAAACCTTCCGAACATATGCAAAGCAGTCATGAAGCAAATCATCTGGCAACCCCAAGCACAAGCACGGGCACGACGCCAGACCTTCACAACTAGAACCTCCCACGGTTCTGGGGCACAGGGCTTTAAGGTTTAGTTTAGTCGTTTAGTGTTTGCTGCCGTAGGTACAACCGCCGCCGCACCGCTGCCCAGACGAGCATCAGGCTTGTCGAATTTCCGCATAGCACTTTGCAAATCCGGCTGGCCCATGAACTCGTCGAAAGACAGTTGCTGGACATTGCGATGAGGCTGACCAAGACCGGACACTGGCACCAAAGCTCGGCAATCTTGGGCAGAGGACTGCATCGGCTGTGTTCCGGGTTCTAGCTGTCGTTGTTGTGTTTGTTGTTGCTTTAGACGAGCACGTGCTGCTGCTGCATTGGTTGCTGAATCCAGCGCCAAAGTATCGTAGGAAGCTCGCTGCTGCTGTGGCAACTGTTGAAAAGCCTCCTTCACTTCCTTCCACACGTCTCGACTGCAAGGATTCGCTGTCCCGGTTAGCTGCTGCCTGCGAAGATAATCTTTCCGAAAGAGCTCGAATGCCGATTGACCCTTGGCACGTTGGTCTTTGAGCTTTCGCTTTGCTACCACAGCTATTCTGTCTGAACGATGTGAGGAAGCAGCATCGACAGGTTCCAGTGAGGATCCGTTCTGTCGAAATTTGTCCTTCTCGGACACTTTCTGTTGCAGGGCCACAGCATTGATCGACTTGGCGCATATAGTGGAGAAAGCACAAGCAGCACTTTGTCGGTTGACGGCATGCTGCTGTTCTACGTCCGCAATGCTCCAAGTCAAGGTTTTCGCATAGTACGCCAAAACAAGTCGCCAGCGAGGCGACTGCAGATCATGCGAAGTTAGACCTCGCAACTTCAACATTCGGGCGATACCCGGAGGCATACAACATGATGACTTGTTGTCCCATTCATCTGCAACTCGCTGAACTACATCTGGATGTGCATCAGGGTCAGCAAAGACTGTGATCGAGTACCGCAAGGAGTTCATGTAGATGAACTGACGTCGATAGACCCACCCAGCCATCAGCAGCAAGAGACGTCGCAACTGCCGGACTTTACCAGGTTCGTGCAGGCAAAAATCCTCGTAAGAAGCATGCTGCCAGTAAAGCAGCTTCAGTCTCCCCACACCTGTCAAGCTCATGGTGAGCTCAGCCAGATGTTGCAGCAGGCTTTCGATGACACTCACCGATGGATCAAGAACCTCGAAGATGACACACCGCAGCTGACAGTTGAGACTCTTCTTCAATGAACCCAACCAGTAGTATGTGAGACACCGCGAAACCTCCATAACAACAGTCAGCAAGGAGATCGTCCACGCACTGCTGTTGTTCTGAAGAAAGCTCATGGAATTTCGATAGCGAGTGCCGTTGACGGCAGAAAACGACAGAGCTTCGATCAACCTGGGATCCATGGCCTGCTCGCCCGCAGCAAATTCTTCGAACTGTAGAAGGCCAAACGCTGTTTTGAAAACATGTGGCAACCAGTTCCCAACGAGAAATCCGCCCATACTGAAATCCAGCGAACTAAAGATTGTCGTCCACTTTGATGGGACAGGTACAGTCGGTATGACGCTCAAGAAGAGGTCGGCCAAACTTTCGGCGCATTTTCGCACAGCATCTTCCCGGTCCTTGCAGTGGCGATGGCCCACCGAAACACAACGATGTGTGCATGTGTGGCTCAGGCCGCCTGAGACCTTTCCATTGAATAGCTCCAGCACACGAGCAGTTTTGACTTTGAAGGCTTTGGCATCCCGATCGGATGACTCCGACTCCAGATCTTTCCAAAACTCCAAGTACATGAGGAACTCCTGCAAATGCGGATCCGGCCCGGGCATGTCGGACTCAGACAAACAGTCCTGCTTGAAAACCAAAGATTCTGCAACCCACTTCCGTAAAGCTTGGTGCAACCTGCCCCAATACCCCAAGTTCCTGAGAAATACGGTTAGACCATATAGCCGATTCATCACTTCGATTTCGGTGCCAGCAAGCACTGCAACATTCACCAGCTGAGTAGCATGACTCATGCAGCGACTGTGTGACATCAATCTCGCATCTTGTCTGGCAAGCTGGTACAGGTGGGCCAGTAATCGCTCGTTTGATGAAGCGCCATCGGCCTCCAGAATATCGAAGGATTCAATGGCATGCCTTTGCAGTACTTTCAACAGGTCGTTCACGCACTTGAAGCAGGGGTGGAAGTGAAGTGCATAGAACTGGTGAGCAGCCCCGCTCGACAACAGAACTACAGGGGGCAGCACAATCGGCAGAATGAGGTTCTCGCCCGTTTCCCAGACGATTACAATCCTCAAGCGATAAACCATAGTCTCCCATGTGCTGCGGGACCTGTGCTTGCCTTTGTCTGGGTTCAACGAACAGAGAAGAGACGTTTCGTCAAATTTCATGTGTTTGATAACCACCAGTGGACGAGTTGCGGCTGCAAAACTTGTGACTTTCGCCAGCAGTAACGCCTGTTGATTCATCCAAGCACCACAAACGAAAACTTGCATATTTTTTATAGTGGTCGTACCCTTGTTCAAGAAGATCGCCAAAGCAGTATTTCGCTTGAAACGGCCATACGCAGCTTCAAGAAACTCAGCCCAAGTGATGCTTCGCTTGTACCGGTTGCCACGTCGCGACTGCTTGGACAACTCCAGGACCAGCCCGCCGACAGATTTTGATGAACGAGGCCGTACAGCAATCAAGTCGCCAGTATTGCTTATGAATCTCGAACCTTCAAGTAAACAGCGAACCTCTTCTGCGAACGAATGGGTTTTGCGGGCGAGTTTCGACATTCGCATGTGCGAGGTCAGCAAACGCCTTTCATACATACCACCGTGTCTTCCCTTCCCGACATGTCCTATCTGACTTGGCAACTTCGGACCTACCTGCACCGGCAACACCGCTCCTTCTTCAACGGACACAGCTGGCACAAGCTCAATGTCAAGGCTAGGCTCAGCAGCATGATGCGCCGTTTGGGCAGACTCCAGAGTGGATGGTGCAGAATCAATGAGGAGGCTGAGCAAGTCAATCTCCATATGCTTTGCACATGTCCCATGGCAGGCACTGCGTCTATCGAATGTCGTTCTTTATGAAAAGCTCAGTTATTATTAGTTCTAATCATGCAATGCCCACTCGAAGGATGCATCCATAAAGATCTTACGTACCGAACGAGGTGGTATGGTACATCTAACGATGGACCGTATCTAACGATGGACTGTATCCTGGCTGTCTGCAACTTCAGGTGCCGGCTCCGCCTGAGATCCGACCAAGCAGTCGTGGCCGAGTCGGTCGTGTCAAGACTAACGAGTCACCACCCCAACTTGAAAGTATTGATAAAGTAAGCATGAGACGACAAACAAAACAAGCTGGCACAGAGACTGCAAAAGAAGGAGTTTGCACTGCAGAGAAAACGGAGCAAGCAACAAGGAGCAAATTCGCCAAGAGGAAAGGCGCAAATGACAAAGAATAATGCATAAATCTACCCAGAAATAAGGCATAAATAACGAAGAATAAGGCATAAATCCACCCAGAAATAAGGCATAAATAGCAAAGAATAAGGCATAAATCCACCCAGAAATAAGGCATAAATAGCAAAGAATAAGGCATAAATCCACCCAGAAATAAGGCATAAATAACACCAGAGGAATCCGTCTAAAGACACCCCCTGAAAACGTGATAGAGATCACCTCCAATATATATATATATATATATATATTTATTTATTTATTATTATTATTATTCAAACACTGTAGGTTTGTTTAATCCCACGCTCACGCAATCGTGTGCCACGTGATGTGATACTCCGGGTGAAACAAAGCAGGGCCGCAAGCTTCTATGACGACTTGGTGCAATGAAACAAATAGGAAGTGAGACCAGTGTGTGGTGTCCAAGCACCAGTTATAGCCACGCCTGCCATACGGCAGGAGACGCACATGCAAAAAAGGTTGGTTGTAGGTGAAACGGTTGAGAGTGAAACTCAATGACCTAAGCAGCCGTGTGATATTCACACGGCTCCCAGACATTTCGAATTCGCCCACAGTGACATGCAAGCAGCTCTGGTCCGCCACAGGAAGCGCCCTGCAAGTGAAACTCAACGCCAAATACAGCGACATCTTGTCGGGTACATCACCTGGCGGATGCGATCGATCAATCGTGACCCAAAAGTCGAGATCGTCCAGGCGCAGCTCTCTGTTGCAAACCGCGAGCTGTATCCCCCGAAAGTGGTTGATGTAGTCAGGATCCTGCTGATCTTGAGGAAACGTCGCAGGTCGCGTGTAAGCTCTGGGCGACCCTGGCGCTAGTATAATCGGCATCGTAGACATGACGCTGATGAACAGCAGTACAAAATGAGACGAAGGCACTACTGCTCGTTGCCCGTTGGGAGCTTGATCGCTGCAGCGCCGCACAAATGCACAACCGCAACAACAAGGCCCTGCAAACATCCATGTGTGAGACATTTGCGAAACAGCGAAAATGGTGAAACAGTGCAATCACAAACCAAATCTCAGCCAAGCTGCTTTGTACGAAATCGTTGCCCGGAGATATGTCGGAGCCAGTCGGAGCCAACCTCATCCATACAACGTTTCACACCGGAGACAACAAAGTGTTGTTGTTGTTGGCGTCGTCGTCGTTGTTACCGTTGTTGCTTGTTGTTGTTGTTGGTGGTGGTGTTGGTGTTGTTGGTGGTGTTGGTGGTGTTGGTGTTGTTGGTGTTGTTGGTGTTGTTGGTGTTGTTGGTGTTGTTGTTGTTGGTGGTGATGTTGTTGTTGTTGTTGGTGGTGGTGGTGTTGTTGTTGGTGTTGTTGTTGTTGTGGTGTGGTGTTGTTGTTGGTGTTGTTGTTGTTGTTGTTGTTTGTTGTTGTTGTTGTTGTTGTTGCTTGTTGTTGTTGTTGGTGGTGGTGTTGTTGTTGTTGTTGTGGTGTTGTTGTTGTTGTGGTGTTGTGGTGTTGTGGTGTTGTTGTTGTTGGTGGTGATGTTGTTGTTGTTGTTGGTGGTGGTGGTGTTGTTGTTGGTGGTGGTGTTGTTGTTGTTGGTGTTGGTGTTGTTGTTGGTGTTGTTGTTGTTGTTGTTGTTGCTGTTGTTGTTGTTGGTGGTGGTGGTGGTGGTGTTGTTGTTGTTGGTGGTGGTGTTGTTGTTGGTGGTGGTGGTGTTGTTGTTGGTGGTGGTGTTGTTGTTGTTGTATATATGTGAGACAGTTAATTGGAGCCAACCTCATCCATACAACGTTTCACACCGGAGACAACAAAGTGTCGCTGTTGTTGGCGTCGTCGTCGTTGTTACCGTTGTTGCTTGTTGTTGTTGTTGGTGGTGGTGTTGGTGTTGTTGGTGGTGTTGGTGTTGTTGGTGTTGTTGGTGTTGTTGGTGTTGTTGGTGTTGTTGTTGGTGTTGGTGATGTTGTTGTTGTTGGTGGTGGTGTTGTTGTTGGTGGTGGTGTTGTTGTTGTTGGTGGTGTTGTTGTTGGTGTTGTTGGTGTTGTTGTTGTTGTTGTTGTTGTTGTTGTTGTTGTTGTTGTTGGTGTTGGTGTTGGTGTTGTTGTTGTTGGTGGTGGTGGTGGTGGTGGTGTTGTTGTTGTTGGTGGTGGTGTTGTTGTTGGTGGTGGTGTTGTTGTTGTTGGTGGTGGTGTTGTTGTTGTTGTATACATGTGAGACAGTTAATGTGTGAGACTGTGAAACGGTGAGACAGTGAGACACTTGACTGTGAAACATAGTGATACCAAGCAGCCTGTGGTCCATCGATGAACAACCTCGGATGTTGCAGAACTTAACTCTGAGACGTGACGTGTAATAGCTTTTAAGATTGCTTTGAAGTGCAAGGTTGCATAGGATTGCGACTTGTCACTGGTCACTCGGTCACTCATCCCACACACCACTGAACCCCACGACAGTGTGACATGACTTCGACCCCATTGTGACAGACATGACTTGCAATCAGCAATGTATGCCATGGTGAATGACTTGAACAAAACATGACTGCCACAACTGGTACACTCTTTGCATCGGGCTTGCAGCGACGCAACACGGATCAGCTCTTATCGAGGCTGCTGTGCAGCCTAGCGCAGCTTAGCCGGCCGTACACAGAAAAGGTAACGCTGTGACAGCGGACAGCTGGATGCCAAATGGCACAGGACTCACCAAACATCAAATTAGGATCTCCGTGTTGCCACATTGCCTTTATCTTTCACTGCCGCTTGATTGACCATGGCACGTCATCCAAGTTGTTGGTTCGCGATGCAGTGGATGTAGCCAAGGGCCCGGGCGGCGGTGGCGGTGGAGGCGTTGTCAGCGGTGTCTCCGCCGACGGTGTTGACGGATGCAACCATGAAGGATCATCCTCCAAGGACTCCATCTCCACATCCTGGAGATCTGTCGGCGTGTGCCCAAGCACAGGGCTCTCCAAGGTAGGGCTGGGCCCGGGCACGGGGCTCTCCAAGGTAAGGCTCCGCTGAGTCCCTGCAGGGCTTGTCGGTGCATCTGCCGCCTCCAGGGCCTCGAGCTCACTCAGCGTCGGCGAAGGGCTTCGTCGGAAAGTTGGGGTCTCAGGAGCTAGCCCAACTGGTGCACTCAGTTCCACTCGCGCTGTTGTTGCCCTGGCGGCTTTCCTCCGTGTGCTGCTGCTGCAGGTGCCCGATCGATGCCTTCGCTTGCCGTTGCGCTTGCGTCTGCTGCGCCTCACAGGCGTCGTGCTGCTCGAGTCACTTGAGCTTGTAGGACTTGTAGGATCCGACGCCGCCGCTTCGTGTGGTGACGAAGGCTCCTGGGCGTGATGATGTGGGATCATGGTCCAGCAGTGCACACAAACAGCAGCAAAGATGTTGAAGATGTTGCTCACATCAATCTGAAATGATGTTATGATTCCCATGTTATTAGCAACTAGCAACTCATCCCCTTATCACTCTTATCAACGTATCCGTATCAACTGCACGCTGCACGCTGGGTTCACGGTCACTCAACATGAATGTGATATGATGCGACCTAACAGAATTGCCGGACTCCTCCTCATCAGAAGTCTCATCTGCCGCGTCGGGCACCACATGTGGTGCTGCTCCCACCCACTCACTCGGAGGCAGCACAACGTCGCCATCCGGATCATACTTCCGGATAGGACCGCCACCGCCAAAAGGAGACTCCTGCGGGATTGTTGTGATAAATGTTGTTCGGCTGTTATTGCTATCATTGCAAACAGAAGCTTCTCTGAGATTATTCAGAATTAAGAAAAGGAGATTGGTTACAACCCAGCATTGCGAAACCATATCATAATCTCCTCCTCATTCGGCTCTGGCACGCTGCCAGCATCATCGCCACCGTATTGAGGATACTCCTGCGGGATCGTTGGTAGGACTGGCATAGGATCTACAGTATTGTGGTTAGGGTTAGTGGTTTGGGTCAGCTTGGAAACAAACATGCAAAACGATGCTGGGTTCTCCTTGGGCACCTTGGGCTCGCTGAGCTCGGAGTCCAGATCTTGAGCCTCTTGAGATCCGTGGTGTTCAAGATCACCACCCATGCCCGTGTCCGGAGCTTCTTCTGGTCCAGCCTCACCACCCAAGCCACCATCACCTCCGTGTTCAGAAGCTTCGTCTGGCTCATTCTGCTGATGCTCCTGCGGAAGCAATGCCAATGTTTGGAGTCGCGGAATGTTCTCAAGGAGTGAATGCTTGATGCTAGATGTTGGATGGATGCTTGTTTTAGTTGTTTTTGGGAAGATGGCTCCTACTTGTATGTGTTCAATGCAAGCTAGAAAGGCAATAACCCATCAGTCCGTGGCCATCTCAGGGTTCAGGAGAGCGTACGGCTGCGCAGGTCGGCCGAAGTTGACCGGAACGAACTGATGGTCGAAGACAACCTCAGTTTATCATAGAACACTGTCCATCATTGATTGTTGTGGCTGATACCTCTGCAATGTATGCTGTATGGCTGTATGTGTTGGTTTTCTGATAATTGGTGTTGTACATTTACAAAGCCCTAGGCCCTAGGCCGTAGGCCCGTTGATCACAGACTGGGCCACAACCGGCGGCCACAACAAAGACTGACCGATG